AAACTGCACCATTCAAATTAATCATGCAATCTTACGTAACCCTTAATGCAGATGCCTCTTGACCAATCACCAAATTGCAAACTAAAACTTTTCTCTTCGCATGCTTCCATCTTGCATAATAACACACTTCAGCTTTGCTCTCTAGTCTGCTAAGATGTAATTTCGCTGGCTTGCTTTCTATCTCAACATTATCAAAAATGTAAATCTTCTGTGGAAAGGCACGACTGGAGTGCCAAGTGATTGTGGCCACAAATATCAATTGGAAATAAAAATGGAATTAAGCAAACAAATTCTTCTTCAATATGCATACTCTTCCGGCTTTCCCTTGTGCTTTTAATATTTCACATATATATGAACTACCTTAAGACTTAAATTAAATATGGATGGATTAAAGCCATCGAATAACCTAAATTTCGAAGGTAATTTAAGTGAAAATTGGAAGAAGTCGAAACAAAAATTCCAGATTTACATGATAGCATCTGGTGGTATTACTAAATTACCTGAAATTAAAGTAGTTATTTTATTGCATACTATTGGTGAAGAAGCACTAGAAAGGTTTAATACTTTAATGTAAGTGAAGAAGATAAGAAGGATGTTGACGATGTAATTCAAGCTTTCAAAAATTACTGCATACCGAAAGCAAACGAAAGTGTTGATAGACATATATTTTTCTGTCGAACACAACATGCAGGTGAATCGTTTGACGACTTTTTAACGAAGTTAAAGAAATTAAGTAGTAACTCTCGGTTTGGAGAATTAAAAGACAGTTTAATTAGAGATAAAATAATAAGTGGAATTTTAAATAAAAGTCTTAATAATAAGGTTATTGAGAGACGGTCAGTTAACAATGGAGAAATGTATTAAAATGTGTAAGGGTTCAGAATTAACAGAACTTCAGCTGAAAATTTTAACTGAAGAAAATAAAAAAGAAGTGATGAAGCAGAACAAAATTCCACCTCCAGAGGGAAAAAGTCAGCCGCATAAGAAAAATACGGTGTAAAACAAAAGCAACAAAGTATTAAATCATCTGCAAATTTTCAAGGAATAATCCGAAACCACGTAGAAAATGTATAACTTTTCATAAGTTATACAACTGTCCTGCTTATAACAAGATTTGCTTATGCTATAAAAAGAAAAAATCACTTTTCTAAAATAAGCACAAATGTTAATGTTGTACAGAATAATTTAGAGCATGAACTGCTTTATAATGGTAATGAATATATTTTAGGATCAGTAGCAGATAAAAATCCATTTTCTAAAAAGAGAACAGAATGGCTTGAAAGATTAAAAGCAAACACATCTAAATATTTATGTGTGTTATTAAATCTAATTCATAAGTAATCTAAATATTTATGTGTGTAATAATGTGTTACCATTGCCTAAATTTAAACAATTAAATTTAAGAGATAAATGTTTGACTGAACCAAAAGTCACTTTAAATAATTCCAATGGTTCTAAAACTGATGCAGTTGGAAAATGTAAGTTCTCACATGAGACATCTAAAGGTGACAAAGATGAAGTAGAATTTCAAGTAGTAGCATGTGATAAAACTGTTCCAGTTAGTTTAAGTTCACCTACACTATAAAAATTAAACCTAGTACAAAGGATTTGTACAGTAAATCCTGAATCTAATGGAAAGTTACCAGAATCTTTAAATGAATATCAAGATTTATTTAAAGAAAATGGGAGTTTAACAGGATACACCTATCAAGTTAAATTAAGACCAGAAGCTGCTGGTAAATTACAGCTCAGTAGGAAAATTCCACTTAGTTTATTAAATCCTCTAAAAAGAGAACTGGCAAGAATGGAAAAAGATGCTATTACACAGAAAGTTAATCGACGTACAGAAAAGGATGGTAATTTGTTTAGTTCCTCAGTATCTTAACCAAAATATACTGAGAGAACATTATCACATACCAATCTTTGAAGAAATCTCACGTAACAAATGCAAAGGTGTTTAGTATTTTAGATTCAAACAAAGCATTTTGGCAAATTAAACTGTCAGATTTAAGTCATAAATTTACTAAATTTAATACTCTGTTAGGTAATTAATGTTTTTCAAGGTTGCCATATGGACTGAGTTCATTACCAGAAGTTCTTCACAGAATAGTTTTTGAAATTTTTTGAGATTTGGAAGATATTTTTGAAATAACATATATAGATGACTTATTAGTTTGAGGAAAAGATAACAAAAATTAAAGAATGATTTAAGATTAAAGAAGCTGTTGGACAGAGCCTGAGAAAAAAATTTTGCATGAACTCAAATAAATCAGCTAATAATTACTAAAAACTACTGTATGGTGTGGATTTTAGAAAATTTCCACTGTTCAATTCCTCTAATTGGCATGTCAAGAATTCCCAAGTGCAAACTTTTCATTTTTCAAAAACCTCTTCAATATTTTCTTCACTATCAGTAGCTATATTTTCTGGATTTAAAACCATACTATCTTCCATTTGTGAACTGCTGGTTGATTGATTTTACTTTCCAATAGTTGACTGCTTAATGGGGTATTATCATCACAATGGGGATCTCTTGTTAATCATTTCCATCTATTATCAGATCACAAATCTTCACAAATGCCATTAACTGGAACATTTTGCCTCCAACAGCTTGAAAAATCTACATCAAAACAAGTCTGTTTCGCCTAATTTTGAAAGTGAACATTCTTAAGCCTGATTTGAACCAGTACCATTTTTGCTTGCCAAGGTTAGTATAGAAGGTAAGTACTAAATATACTTTCACTTAGCAGACCTTGCTAGAGCTCCATAATCAAAAACTCTTTTCGATATAATCAAAATTTCTCACTCTGATCAGATAGGTGTAATAATGGCCTACAAAAAAATAATAAGCTGTATCAAATTAGAAAGTTAAGGAAGAGAGATTTGCTATATTAACTGAAATTACGTTTTTTGTAATCTAATTCTTTTGCCCCACTTCTATGCCAACAAAAGAAAACCAGTACGAGTCCTATTCCAAATAAATATCCCGAGGCTTCACTCATCGTTTAGGTCAAACATAAAAAACATTAACCCCCCTCCACAACCACAGCTGAAAGAAAGGTTGTGGCTAATGTCAATTAATGTATTGTCACTGGATATGATATGGTTCTCTAGCAAGCAGGTATTTGAAAGTTTTGTATATAAATCTCAGTTGGGAGAAAAATTCCTTTAATTTCCTTTTACATTTGCGTTTTTTAGCATTATATTCGCCATTCCTATATGTTGAAAAAAGTGGCTAGTGGTACGGAGTTTCAGATATTAGATCATCCCAAACTGGACATCCAGCTTTTGGACTTTGATCTGCATCAGTTTGTTGTTGCTTTATGTAGCAAAATATGGTATTTTTAGGAACCAAATGACTCCAAGTGGTTATCTCTGATTAAAAAATGATTATCTATGCATTAAAACCTATGAATTTTCCTGCTTACAGAACTGTAATTTCAATCAAAGAGGCATAGATGAGTTCAGAAAGCACTGAGTTATCTTTTCTCTTTATTTTCTCTCTTACTAAGATAAAAAATCTGATGTGTACACCACATGACTTCCTTGAATTGGAATATTAAATTATACGCATTTTTTCTTGCATTTCATTTAAACTTATTGGATTGAATTAAATCTACTTCGCCGACAGCGCATAAACCACAATAGAATAAATGCATTCTTTAAAATTCACTCTAGTATTTGTTTACCATAGCGACACTCTAGCGCTAGATTCACTTAACAGTATTAATAATTATATAACAGTTAACTTATATATTTCGTTCATATTATAACTCATAATGCACAAAATTTATATCATTTAAAGAATAGAATTATCTAATCGTTGCCACATGTTCAATTCAAATACTACAATAAAGCTAGAATGATGTATAAAAGAAATTAAGCAAACAAACAAACAAAAAAAAAGAAACAGTTTTTCACAGACGATTGAGTATTTCTCATTTAATTAATTCAGTTCTCACTTCGCGAGAAGGAAAAAATACATAAAAACTCAAAATATCTGTATTAAAAATTACGAAGTAAATCTTAAACGCTTATTTCCTCGAAAAATTCTAGAAAGGATTAAGCATGATTTAAATAATAAATGAAGGCGTTTATCTTTGTTGTTGTGAAGCTAAGTTTCTCTAGATTGGCAACAAATCCACTAGTCTCCTGTTTCAAATGTAAACACAATGGCCGCCATTAAAAAGGCTTAGTGGCATCAATTGCTGGCCGCATTAAAAAGGCAATTATTAACAATTATTTTACAATTGCTGATAATTCTAAAAAATATTGCACACCGATTTACTAAAGGCATAAAATCCTTAACCGGAAGATAAAAACAACATAATTCAATCATTTTTAAAGCAAAAAATGTACAATTTACCAACATATAAGAGTAAAGAAACTGAGATCACTGAGCCGGGTAATAGAGTGGATATATATATATAAATATATTTATATACGTTTGGTGCAGCCGATTGCAACCCAAATACGAGGTGCACATCTACATGTTATAGCAGTCCTATATACAAAATTTCAACGTTCTGAGGCTACTCGTTTTTGAGTTATGTGAGATACGTTCGTACAGACGCCACGAAAAATTCTCTTCAGAATTAATTTTAAAGCAGTTTTATAATTTTTTTGAAGGAAAAGAGTATTTTATTCTGTCCTTACGTACAGATATCACGCAAAAACATCGTTAAATTGCATTCGATAGCGGTCAAAATGGATATTTTCGTTGAAATATGCTGCCTGAAACTTTTCGCGATTACAATACTTCCTTTTTATTTCGTACAAGGAAGTAAAAATGAGAAACGAAGACAGACAACAGCTGTTAGACAATCAAATGAATATTATTAAAATAATAATAAACAGATGCACACCAAATGAAAAAAGTATTCTACGCAAAAATTGCATGTAGAGACATAGAATATACGTATACGATTTCTGAATGTCAATTTGTTTTTAAATTATTACTAATGATCATACATATATAAACTGCAATATAAAATACTAACTTGTTCCCGTCTAGTACCATTTCCAATCTGGCCTTCAGAATTCCTTCCCCAAGAATATATATCTCCACATGTAGTAATAAGTACAGAATGATGACTACCACATGATAGCTGCAATAAATGAAAGGTGAACGTTAATACAAACCTATTTTCATAATTAAAAATGCTTGTGATGAGTTTATAGAAAATTTTTTATTCAAACTAAAAAATTTCAAAAATTAAGTAAAACAGGTAATAAAAGATAAGTTATTTATGAAAAATTCATATTACACAAAGGAATAAAGTATTTCATACACATCCAAAATAATAAAAGACTACTAACTGTAAAATACATGCTTTAATTTCTCGTGAATAACACTGCATGGCCAATAAAATGAATGAATGTAACAGTCTACACTTTTCAATAGAACTATAATAGTAATGAACAATGAAACGATAACAGAAATAGAATACCTGAATTATTGTATCTGCAACAGAAGCAGTATTGACTAGACTAGGCAGAAGATGACTTTGTTGCAGAGTTTCATTTACATCTCCAGATCTACGTAAAGCTGAGTTATTCATAATACTGCTAGCAACATAATTAGAAGATCGAGAATTTTGATACAGAATATTTCCTTGATGACGAGCTCTGCGTGAATTCTGAGCCTGCAATCTTAAAGCTTGCGGATTACATCCCCATGTATAAATCCTATTTGTTCTGCTTACAGCAAGCTATTGAAAAAAATGGTAAATATAATAATTACAGCAGGTTAACAGCAATGAAACACATGACTAATAAAGTAAATTAAAAAAGACTACCCCAAAATTATTCAAACACAAATACATCTGAACAAAGGTTGCATTTTAAATGCTTAAATCTACTTACAAGATTAAAAACTACCAACATTGAGCAACACACTCACAAAGCACAAGAAAGCTAGTTCTAGATGTTCCCAATAACACATTTCGTAATCATTCATTTCTTGTTAACCCTTCATCAGGCATAATATACAAGGCGTATATATCGTGTCTATCATTTTATTTAAATCCTCCCCAATCAGATAGCATGTATTAGACAGTTTCATTTACAATCTTATTTCGAAATGAACTCATCCCCCGCTTTTAACACTCTGCCTAATTCTAACAAACAAACCTTTCCACCACCCGATTTCCACTGCATATGCATTATTATATAAATACACTGCTCGACATTGAAAATTCAAAACCAAGACAGAGTGGTCAGAAAGTGATGAAATTTGAAATAAGTGATCTTTATTTCAAAATGATAGGATACAGAGCGAGAACGGCGTCGGCTCAGTAGGATGTAGGACCACCGTAGACAACGATGCACGAAGAAACAAATCTAGGCATGGAATCAATAAGAATGCGGATGGTGTCCTGAGGGATGGCTCTCCATTCCCTTTCAACCATTTGCCACAGTTCTTCTGAACGAGGCAGGGGCAGAGTCTGCAAATGGCGTCCAATCACATCCCATACATGTTTAATTGGTGACAGGTCAGGAGAGTACAGTGGCCAGGGAAGCATCTGTACACCTTGCAGAGCAAGTTGGCAGATGCGAGCACTGTGTGGTCGGGCATTATCCTGCTGAAAAATTGCATTAGGCAGCCCCTGAATGCAGGGGATTGCCACCGGTCACAGTACATTATCCAAGTATCGTTGGCCGCCATAGTGCCCTGAATACGAACTAGAGGTGACCTAGAATCTTAGGCAATAGCACCCCAAACCATTATGCCACGCACGGTGGGGCGTTCCACAGTTACTGCCAGATTAGATCTGTCTCCACGTCAACGCCACACATGTATGCGGCGACTATCACTCGATAAACAGAAGCGTGACTCATCTGAGAACACGACATTTCGACATTCTGTCATCCACATCGCTCTAGTCTGGCAACATTCTAAACGTTGCCGTCTATGCTGTGGGGTCAATGGCAGTCTTCTTAACAGATGCCGTGAGTGCAGGCCATGTTCAACCAATCGATGGGAAATGGCTCTGGTCGACATGGGAACATCCATGGTATCTTGCACATGCTGCAGAATTACAGTACAAGTGACTTGCGGGACCGCCACAGCTTGTCGGAGGATGCGTCAATCCAGGTGTGCTGACGTCACTCTGGCTGCACCTGCACCCCTCCTTCCCACATTTCCTTGTTCCGACCATGTTCGCCATAGCCGATGCACCCTGCTCGCATCCATGTGGGTATCAGCTGCGATTTGACGTACGGTCCAACCCGCCCTTCTCAGTCCGATCACCATACCTCTCGTAAAATTGTCTATCTGGCTGGAAGTGCCTTCGTTGACGGCGGCCTGGCATTCTCTCCTATTACACGCATCCTCAGAGACAAATCTGCACGATGGAGATAAAAAGTTTTTTTTTCACCCGTAGATAGTTGCCATTGCTCGCTTTCAAATCGTTGAGTTTGTTACTCAAAAATTCGTTAAAGTTTTACAAAATATGAAATCGATAATAAAACAAATTCCAAATGCCCATATAGTAGGATTACGTCATTCAACATTCGATGGCTCTATGTACCATGGTTTTATCACAATGCGAGAAATATACATACATTTATGCAGATTTTTCATTATTTAATTTCTCAAACATTCAGGACTCTAATATTTGGTGGCAACAGTTTGAAAAGTGAAATGGACATTTATAGTGATTCAACACAAAATCGCAAAACGAAAACAAAAGTCCTTCAGGGACAAAACCGTTTTGGACTGAATATGGACTATGAAGTATATATATGTGATGATAAAATTTAGTTTGGCAGTCAGGAGCTTTTGAAGAATCACAAAAATCACTTGATATTCCGAAAATACCTTTATTACTTGTGACACTTCACAATCTGGGGGGGGGGGAATCTGCACCCCACAATTTTGATGATGACGCATTACATTTTAAACAAAAGCAGCAAAGGATATTCTTTTTTTACTCTACCTTGTAGTGTTTTTTAGGGTTACTATGTGAAGTTCCGTTATGCTTTGCATTGCTTTCATATATATTTCGCACGCTTCCCTTTATATTTTGGAAAAACTTTGCTCAGTTCTACTCTCCTTGTATAAGCATCAGAATTGAAACTAATTAAATAATAGCATTACTACGTGCTCCTTTTTTTTTTTTCAGTTACTCAAGCAAATAAATGAAAATGTTCATACCTTTTCATTAAAAATAATAATTTAGATGTGATTTAACTCTAACAATGGCATAATAGCATTAACATAATTTAAAGAAACACTTGGAAAATAATAAAAATAAACACAAACAATGAGTAAGAGCAAAAGTAAAAGCCTAAACTACCAGAAGGGAGCCCTCAGTTAGTTAGAGCATAGATGAGATGGACACATATCACATACCAATGTTGGTTAATTAAAGTGAGGTATAATTATAAATAATTAATTACATAACACAGTGAATCAATAAAAACGTCAAAAAATTAAGACCAGGGAGCCAAAGCTACTGTTTTAACAGAACAGGTTCTCTTAAGTCATTCTCATAGCTCATTCTTTGACTGCATTAAGGAAGGGGAAAATTAAGCAAACATTTTCAGAATTTGGCACTAGCCAGGGGGAGAAATATGTGAGGAAATATGGTATTTTATAAAATTTCCTTTTATTTTACACATTTAAGATAAATTACAGTCAAAAGTCGTTAATTCGGACACCCATAATCCGGACCTCAAAGCTAAACACTTTCTATGCATGCACCACATGCGCATAAGCGTTCACGCGTGTGCGTCAGACCTTTTACGCCTGCGCATATGCGTGTGCGCAAGTGCAGAATACGTTTTCGCGTGCGCGTTTTATGTATAACAGATGGTATAAGCTAAAATTATCTAATTATCTATTTCAGTTAATGTTGATGATTGCGTTGTTCCTTAATTTTCGAATTGGATCTGGCTTATTATTTTTTGCAGACTGTAAGAGCAATACTATAAAAGTAAACTTGAACTTTCGATTATGTCAAAAAGAATTTCCGATTCTGGAGCTCCCAAAGGATCGTACAAAACGAAAGTATGTTTCGATGTCCATCAAACAAAAAGTGGAATTGCTGCAAAAAATGGATAAATGCATGAAGAAAGTGACAGAAAGGTGATTTGTTTCTCTAACCATTCCGAAATCTGTTTATCAATTTCATGCTGCTCTGCAGAGGTGGGGGGGGGACATCGCGGTGCACAATAAGCTGGAAGTTGATCTGTCAGCACTATCCTCATCTTCAGGGCAGATGTTTTTATTTTATTCGGCTTATAATTCCTTACTAAATGTAGTGTTTCATCTCGATGTACTCCGATATGATTTAAATCAATTTCCTCGTCATTATAAATATCACGAATACACATCAAATAGTTTTCTGGTTGCAATTTCCTAATTCTGACTATGCGTAATGTATGCTTTACACATACGTGCATTGATAGAAATGTTTAATAAAGTAAACAAATAAATATTAAGTGTTTTTTTAGTAAGTTTTGATACCCTTTAGATCATAATTGCTCTTTATTTCATAAATTATGGTTTCATATTTTTAATTGTATAATTTCTGCATGCCATCTTACCAGATTTAAATTGATGATCTATAATCCAGAAAACCCCTAATTTGGAATCGCCAAAGTCCCGACGAGTCCAGATTAAAGACTTTGTACTGTATAAAGTTGTGGGATGCATATCGCACCCATAATGATAATGTGTAAACAGGAATATGTGCCCTAAAAATTAGTTAACAAGAAATACAATTAAGCGATGGATACACCCACGTCTATCTTCAAGTGTCATCCTTCTAATTTTGTAGTAAAGTCTCTCCAAGTTATTAGAATGCAAGGAACCATTACTATTCCATTGAAGCTATTTCTAAATCATCTCACTACACATATACACTGGTATGCAAAAATTAAGGACGAAGTCAAAAAATTAGCATATCAGCTGAACGAAGAGGCAGAGCGGAGAGAAAGACCAATCAGGAGATTAAGTAAGGTGACGTACGGTAGCACATGCGCAGATATGCAGGTAGATGTAATGGGGGAGTGTCTGAGTAGTATAAAGCATGTTGTCGGTGTAAGATCAGTATTTCTGGCAAAGAGATTGCACACCGTATAGCAGTTAAAATCACACCGAGTTGCTGCCTCAGCGAGAAGTGGTGAATAATCAATCTGTTAGATGACATCTGGATGCTTTTACCCGAGGTCGAATCATTGGGAAGTTGGAAGAAGCCCGCAGTGTGACAAGTGTGGCTGCAGAGTTCGGAATTGCTCACAGCATCGTTTCACGACTTTGGAGACAATTTCAAACTACCGGAACAGCTATCCGGGGGTTTAGTAGTGGTCATCCACGAGGAACCACACCTGTAGATGACCGGTATATTGCCTTACAGGCCAGAAGAAACAGGCGGCAGACAGCGGGAGAAATCGCTAGACACACGACACAGGCGACAGGACGACCAATATCGCGTTTTACCGTGGCCAGAAGACTGCACGGTGGTGGTCTGTTTGCACGACGCCCTGTACGGTGTGTACCTCTAACGCCTGCCCATCGGAGAAGGCATTCTCTGTGGTGCCGGGAACACCGGAATTGGAGAGACAATGAATGGGGACGAGTACTCTTTACAGATGAGAGCAGATTCAGTCTGAGTAGCGATTCTCATCGCATACTCATCTGGAAGAGAGCGGGGAAGCCGAAATCATCCCTCGAACATCATTGAAAGGGACAGGTATGGAGGTGGCGGTGTTCTCGTTTGGGAAGGCATCATGCTTGGTAGTCGTACAGACCTTCACATTCTGACTATGCGTAATGTATGACTTATATCGTATCTTCGACGCAGGTTCAGTCAACGGGACCCGTTATTGTAACGAGATTCTTCTTCCATATGTGCGTCTTTTTAGAGGTGCTATGGGTCCGCAGTTCCTTTTCATGGACGACAATGCACCATGTCATCGCACAGTAGCTGCCGAACAGCTCTTAGAGAGTGAGGATATTGAACGTATGGATTGGCCGGCATGATCTCCGGATCTTAATCCCATCGAGCATGTATGGGATTTTCTAGGCAGATGCTTGGCAGCTCTTACCTTACCCCCAGTAACGATTCTGGAGCTTCGATTGGCGCTGCAAGACGAATGGGCAGCAATGCCTCAACAACTCATCGACACCCTCATTCTCAGCATGGGCAGACGCTGTGAAACCTGTCTAGCAGTCAGGGGAGATCATATTCGCTATTAAAGACCGGATGTTTCTTGCTGGACACCCATCACAGGGATGTTTCGGCCTTCAGTCGCATTGCGCTCCATGCTACCTTTTCAATAAAGCTTCTTTTTATCCCTCTGATTTCTTTTTTAGTAAGTGTTGCTTACATTACTCACGTCCTTACGTATTGGGGATCTTACGGTATTAAATGTGTTGATTTGGAAAGCTTTTGTACAAAGTTATATTGAAAACCGTCTAGTCCTTAATTTTTGCACACCAGTGTATATCAATCGAATTAGCAAAGAGGATTTTAGCATTTTCTTAGTAGAGAGCACATTTTACAAACTTGAACACTTCACTGATTCTGGCCATTAACATTCTTAGCAGCATTTATGAATGTTATTTTGTTGCAGGTTGCAATAATTTAATTTCTGCTACTTTCATTAGCTTAGAACAGGTAAGTTTTAAATGATTTAACAGCTAGTCTTCATTTTAGATCTTCAAAGAACATGGAAGTTATTGGTGATTTAAAAAGAAGAGGTGGTTCCAAACTTTATAAAGATTTACAAAATTTGAGGAAAATAAAGCATTTTGTTACATCCAAAGCAGGGAAAAAAGTACTTAAACGTCTCAAAATAGAATACTTTTAATTGAAGCAAAATTTCACTAAAAATCAAACGATAATATATGACTCCTGTCATTAAAAAGTATTTTTTTTTAAATAAAGTATTCATGTTAGTAATAAGTGCTGTTTATTTATACAATGCCACTTATTTACTGCGAAGTAGTTTCTTAGTTTAATAATTTTCTTAACATTTTTCTTTTTCTACTCTTGCACAGAAAAAACAATATATTTAGTTTCACTGTGCATCATTCCATCACATTACGCCAGCTTTAACTCAAAGCAAACAAAAATACTTACAACATGAAAATGACCAGAAGCTATTAACTTGATACGTTCAGGAATATTCACAAGTTGAGGATAGCTATGTTTGGATACAAATCCCGTTCCAAGCTGACCAAACATACCACATCCGAATGTATACACTTCATCCTTAAAAATCAAAATTTTATAATAAATACAATGTTTTTTGCACAAAGAAAACAAAGTTTTAAAGTGAGAGCTTTTACCTAAGCTGTTATATGCATGGATATACATAGATAATAAAAAAATTGGATAACAAAAAAATGACTCTTTAATCTGTAGCTTATACAAGGGAACTATAAAGCAAGAACTCAAAAGTTTAATGATACACAACAAATTGTTTCAGATAATTTAATAAAAAAAAATTTTCCCACATCTGTTAGGTTTCTTCTGGGAATATGTTTTATTCCTCTTTTTTAAAATGATGTTTATGCAAAGTGCATGTAAAAGTTCTTCAGTTTTTCAATGACGAAAAATAACAATGCAATTGAAGATAAAACTAGCTCTCAGTCTACCATAAATTTATTGTTACCAAAACAAGTGTGGTGGGAAGGAAACTGCTGCCTCTGAGAGTTTTTTATTCTCCTTTTGTAGAACTTCAGACCTCTGCAGTGGAAAACGTTTCCCACACTATCTTAAAGATTGTACTATTCCTGTCCCTGAGGGAAAATGTATTGAGTGAAATAAGTGGTATCACATTAGAGTAACATCATTTGACATGCTTAAGGTGAATCGTGTCCACTAGATCTGATATACTGCTTTTAGATCTCTTTTTTTTTTCTATCACTTATCACTTCAAAGTAATGTGCAATGCCCATATCACAGCCTTTTATTAAAAAAAATGAACAATCCTTTAATGCCGTGTTACCAGCTAATGTGTACGGTCAAATTATGCAATGCCCATGGTTAAGCTCAGTTTGTTCAAGTTTTACAGCTTGTTTATGCATTCCAGTGACCTACCATGCATAAAACTAGCTCTTTCCCCTTCTTTATTACTTTCTTCCCATCTTCCGACTAAAGACTTCTACACCTCTGATCAACACTGTGCTGAGTTTCATTATGTAAAATACTAAACTCCACTAACACTGCCGCTGTTTTGCAAATAAAACTTAAAGTAATTGCAACTGATTCTTACAGAACTGAAATCTTTAGGAATTGGTATAATCACAATATCCACAATCATTTACTCTATTGAAATATATATATATGTGTGTGTGTGTGTGTGTATAAGAGAAAAAAAAAGAATACATAAAAGATTAAATTAGCAACTTAAATTTCCCTTCTCAATTCTAAAAATAGTAATCTCTCTGCACTGCATCATTTCGAGAATAATCCATGTTCTTGCAAAATTTTGATGATGTAAATGGAAATTAAAACTCAAGAAGCCAATAATAATTTTACAGAAGTATTAACTATCCAATCAATGTTCTCATTGAAAACCCAAACTAACTCAGTCTGAATTATGATTTCACCCTGAACATACTGCACTTGCTTTCTAAGCTCTGGACCTAGCTGCACGGCAGTCTGTCTGCTCCTTCTATATTACTGCAAATTTATTTAAAATGTAAACTTTTTGGAATAGGCACAATTAATATGCCAATTTCTTTGTGGCAGCAATATGTTTGTTGAAATAAAAAATGAACATTTAATCTGCCTTTGCCTCCAATTTCCTATTCATTATGGATCAACACTTCTACTCCATCAAAATGCTTGTCATTACTTCTGAGTTGACAGGATGAATCTCTGCTGCTAATCCCAATGGATAAAGTACCTGAAAAATATGACAGCAAAATGTGTTGATTCCGGAATCAAGAGTAACAGCCTTCTCATGATTAAATAGTGTACCGTCAAAAAGTATTTCCATCAGCACAATCATTGTGCATATAGTGTAAATATATAAAGTGAAGAGAAATCCATTTTTAAAAATTAATTTAGCATAATGAAAGTTAATTAATTCCAAGTATTTCAACAAATTTAGCGATTTTGGAGGTCACTGTTCTTTCTGTCAATAATTTATTACAACAGCGATTTCATCGTGTAATTTATTCACCAGCAATCTTCTCTATTAAAAGTTAGTATAAAGTTGCTTTTCTCGTCCAATCTGAATTGAAAAATGGGAATGATTTTTCCTACACGATTTATTCATCGACTAATTTCTAAGTCTGTGATATGAGTTTTTTTTAAAAAGGTTACATTTAGAGCAACTAAAAATATCAAATATCATACTAAAATTGCTAATCATCATTATTAGATTGAAAATCTGAATACATATTGCTGTTTTTGCTTGTATTGGATTAAAATTATAGTATTCTTTTATGAAAAATGGTATTAAAAACTTTGTTGGTGGTTTGAGTTCCGTATTTTAGATCATTCCAGAAAATGGACATCCGGATTTCGGACTTCGTACAGTATATGCACCATTTGAGTGATTAATAAAAGATGTCTGTAATGCCATCTTTTATTAACTGAATGCAAATGTACAAAATAATTTTTTGAATGCTACATATCAGTTTGTAGATTGCCTTTAAATTCTCTAAATATATTGAAATCTTCTTTATAAGAAAATTTTGTTTGTATGGATTCAATTATATCCACGTTGTTGTTATCTATGTATTTCATGGAAGAATGGTTGCCAGAGCCTCAAGGAGGTTGGACTTCAACTTTCTACGCCAATTTTGAGGGAGAGCACACTGGAGGGTTGTCCGAGGATTTTCCACCCCTCTCCTTTTCCAGCAAACCACACGAGCAGACTTTTGCCTTGCCATATACCATATATGCCAGTGCCCCCTTGAAGCAAAGACACTATACATTTACATATATCCATGCCTTCTCTGGGATTTGAACTCAGGCTCTTCGGTACCACAGTAGGCTCTCCTATCCATTATACCGTCAGGGTGGCAATTATATCCATTACAATTTAATATAATATTTGTATAATACATATATAAAATTTAAGATTCTCACATTTTCCATTTTTTCTGTTTGATATCAAACTGCTTATCTTCGCTTGATTGCAATAATAATAATAATAATACCAGTGACCTGGCAGACTGCTGGATCTGAAAACATTCCGCACAACATAAGTTTTTACATTTGCTTTCACACTGTAAAAATTAATGTCTCTCTTTTTATTTTTTTCTCATAGCAATGATGAGGTATACAAAGGCCATGAGTTAAAGTCTAAGAAAAGATAAGGCAAAATTTTAAAGGAGTCCTTGCTCCAAACTTCTCACGTCTCCATAATTTAGGAATATGTTGCTTAGCAGTATAATAAATTTGCAATTTAAAAAAAGATACACACTTCTAAAAAATATTATCAACATTTAACATATATCATCAACATTAACAACAGCAAAAACTATGACAATCCTCAAATACCATAGGTTACATGGTTTAATACACATTTTTTTAATTGCAATGTTATTTATTCATAAATAATTTTTCTATACACAGATAAAAATTTACATTTTAAAAACTTAAATTCATGAATACATAACATGAAAAGGAAAATCAGATTCTTAAATAGGAAGAAAAAACAAACTGAAAGGGAAAGAAGCGGAAAAACGGAAGAAAATATGTTAAAATACTACAGGAAAAGCAGTATGCATTTTAAATTTCTTACATTTTGACTCAATACAGCACTATGGCCTTGTCCTGCACAAATGGAAACTATAATAACTTTTTTCAAGGATTTGACTATTTTAGGTAAATTGAGATTTTCAGCATTTCCATGACCCAACTGACCATGAATACCCCAGCCCCATGAGAATACTCTGTAAAGAAGGGGGGAAAATAAGTTATTCATATCTAGAAATACATACATAAAATATTCAATATATTTATACATACATGGTCACAGGAAAGTGTTCATATACTTAGGTACTTGTGTACTAGCCAACACAAAATCATCACCAAAAATACCATCCATGAAACTGATTCCCATGAGTGTTTGACAATCCTTTACACTGTTTTGGTTTCTTTAACAAGGATAAGAGTTTTTCCTTTTTCTTTCTCTCTCTCTTTTTTGCTGTTGTTGTTAAGCAATAGATTAATTTCTGTCTCCCCTAATGCATAAATTCCAGTTACAACACAATATGATGAATGATATGCAATGAAAATGTTATGTTACAGCTGATAATTTGTTAAAATAGGAACTAGGAGTTGGTTGGAGGGATGTCACTTGCTTTCTTATTTAGCAGAATTTATCTGAAAGCACAGATTATCTATTGAGAATAATAATTTGATACAGCTGACAAACAATACCAGCTGTTGAAGCGGTGGGGAAAAACACTCTGTTTCACTGATCTGCAATGTTGAAAATATACTTCATTGCCAAAAGCCATTGATTATTGGAGGTGAAATGGTGCACATTGATTAATACACAAATACTCATACTTATTACTGTGATAAACAGCATTTCCTTAGTTAAACTGTGGTCTTATCATAAGTCATTTTATCAGATGACAGTATATAAGGTGTTTGATAAAGTAGTGATAAGCATTATACACCTAAATAATCACAGCAGATATGTACCTCCATTTACAATAAATTCAGACATACACTTAGATTTAAAATATAAAACATAATTTTATACAAGTAATTTAAAATCCATTGGCCAAAGGATTGTTTTCTTTTTAATTATCTAAGTCTTTATGGTTCTCGTTCCAATTAGTAAAATATTCATTATGAAGTTAAACAGAAGTTTCATATCTTTACAATGAAAACTCACTGCAGTACATGAAACCATTTTCACTTTCATCGGTGGCTAGCAACAAATTTAACAGCAAGAATTACTTTATTCAACAGGGATACACTAAACACATAAATAAGAAACCTCTTTTAGCAAGAGAAACCTTCGGTTTTCTTGTTATGATTTTCATAAGTTAAAAACCATAACTTAAGTACTTGTTGTATTTTAATTAGTTAAAAATAGAAATTCCTACAACATCACATGCAAAATGTACATAAGTACAATTAATCAATGGAGTTACGTGTTGCAGGTTTGACAAATTGAAACTTTATAATGACATAAAATAAAGATAACTTGAAATACACAATAAATAATGCAAATATTATAAACAATATTCTAAATAAATAAAACCAATACAGTCAAATACCAAAAATCCGCGCTGCCTCTCAAAATATAAACAGTTAGTTTACAGGTTCCGGAAACCGCAGCATTGAGTACGAAATATCGAAGAAAAAATACTTACCGAATAATGACGTCATAATTACAAATAATAATGAGTCATAACAGAAATACCAAATTATCAAAATAAAAAAGTTAAAAAAATAAGATAAAAGTTTCCCCCCCCTCTAATCTACATCGAGGTAAAAAAGCAGACGATTCACTCAACTCTTCGTTCAAGTTCACGATTCACATTGTTGTATTTTCTGAGCTTTGTCATTTCACGAGATGGTTTAATGCTGCTTTTTTTTCATCTGGATATTTTGCGGATAAATTAAGAATATTTTAAATTTCAGCCCTTTTTAATACATTGACAGAGAAGAAATGCACTCATGATTTTACTGCTTGCAATGTTGAAAAACGTAAACACGTTGCATTGATGGTAACACAAAAAGTGCAAATTCTGCAAAAAATGGAAGCATGCGCTACTTTTCGATTTATAGCAGAATGGATATAATTATATACGGAAAACTAAAGAAAAGCTGTTGAAATTTTATAGCAACAGTGATTCTAACACCGGAATTCGAAAAAAGAAATCTGCATGAGAAATTGCATAAAGCGAAATCGGCAGAACTTGATGCTGTGTACACATAATACAATGAATAATATAATCAATTTATATATGTAATAATAATTTAATGCATATAATAAATTATTGCAATAATGTATATAATAATTTAATTAAATTTATCTAATACGCCTTATCTATTTTGCACTTTTAGTCAGAATATTATGCTTTATCTCTTCTGTCCTGAAATCCGCAAAATCCTAAAATCTGCACAACCTCCTGTCCGAAGCATTGCAGATTTTTGGACTTCTACTGTACTTAATAATACAGAATAGCCAACATTACATAAAATACAAGCAAACAAACAGTAATATTTTTTTTAATACTATTATTTTTCCAAAGATATAGTTTAAATTTAAGAATGGGTGCTGCTTTATCAAAATTGAAGAGCAGAGCGATTAATTGCTTAAATAAACATCTTATGTTTCGTGAATGTATCTTAAATTTGGTTGAAAAATGAGTTTCCGTTACTAAGATTGTAGGGTTTTCCTTATTTTGCACAACAAATTTATTTTAAATTTATACCTTTATCTGAACTTCTCAACTTGCCCTCACAATCTCTCGCCAGGATGTAAATTGAAAGTTAAGTGAAGTGCATATTTAAATGGGTAAATCTCTGAGTTTAGATGAGTGTGTTTTCGCTAGCTAGGACATGTTTCATTGTTGCTTCGCTGTTATGGTAGTAAGCCTCTTGGCCATTCAGGTTTATCATCCCACCTGTTAGGTTTTTGCGAGTCCACCTGTTAGAAGTAACTTGTGTGCTATTCAGCAGTACTTATTTTAGATCTTGACTTGAATTAGACTCTACGTTTTTTAGTTTTACTGCAAGTCTGACGATGCCTTTGTAATGCATGAAGAGCGTGCCTTTTCTGATAACTATTTTGGAATTTTCACCTTTTTTCTGTGCTGGTAGTTTTTCATGCCGGTGCAAGAATTCCCCAGGTTCATTGTAGGATCTAATTAAGTTTATGTGGAACAACATAGACAGAACTTGCAAGTGATGCCCGAATTTTTCCGAATTCATGGGTGACAATGAAGCTGCAGTTGAGCTAGCTTCACCGACTACACCAGCTCCTGGTAATATGATGGAAGGCTTTGGTTACCTCGTTCAAAGATTGCGGTCCTCCATGAAGCCCACAGTAACATTTGACGGAAGAACATCGATCCCTGGCTTCCTAGAAAATTTAGCTAACCATTTTTTGCTTTATCCCTTTCCCGAAGTCCAGAAAATTATGATAGCAATGACCACCTTACGAGGACAGGCATTAAGCTGGGTTTAAAGGCATCGGTAAATTTCGTCTGGGAGAGACTGGAAGCCCCACATATATGTCTGCAAATTTTAAAGCTGCTTTGGTAAAAGCTTTCCCCATGGCCAAAGACAGAGCTAGGCTTGAGGTCGAATTGTACAGCAAGTACCAATTGAAAGTTGAAGAGTTTTCTAACTTCATTTTACGCAAGGTCCAAGTCGTTAATTTGTTATATGGTAAAAAGTCGATGAAGAATTAATTTAAATTACATTGCCACGACTACTGTTGTAAGTTCAGGATTATATTGAAGTGAGAAACCCCAGCACTCTAGGACAATTGTTTGAGCTGGCGGTGAAATCTGAGAGTAGGAGGGTAGCAGAAAGTACGCGTACGAGAAGTTTTGGCCAGAGACCAAACAGACAGTTTTCTAGGCCACATGTGGAACAAGCAAAGAAATTCTATACCGGGAATAAATTTCAAGATAAAAAGAAAGGTGATTGCCAAAATATGCTGCAAGGATTAAAAAAGGGAAGGCAGTTTCACAAGGAGTTAAACTAGGATGGGTGGCTGCTGAAAAGGGGGTACAGTCACCCCATTCCAATAAAAATCCCTCATGAGTTCAGTTGAACACAGTGATGATAAAAAATTTCCTGTCGGAACAATTTTTTCGAAGCAATTAAAAGAAATTATAGGTTATTTAAGACTCAAAATACTAAAGTTATTGCAGTGCATGGCAAACATTGTGCATGTATAGGTAAAGCAACATTCAATGTGAGATAACGAGACTAAAAAATCTATATATAGTTCGAAATCTGCAAGCTTCGGTAATTTTGGGCACAGATTTTTTAAAAAAAGCGGGAGTCAAATTAATTTTCAGAATGAGACTCTGCAACTACAGATGAAGCCGCTGGAAGTAGAAGCTGTGGAACTGCCTGAATTGAACTTGGAGCATGTGAAAACTGAAGATAGTGAAGAGCCCATGAGAATCAGGCCATATAGATACGATCGCCTTAAAGAAAATATTAGAGAGCAGCATATTCAACACATGCTTCAAAAAAAAATTATCAAACCTTTAAGTAGCCTTTATGCGAGCCCCGTAGTGCTCTGCAGGAAAAAAATTAACTGCCTCCGTCAAGTTTTAAAGCCTGCAGGCTAGCTATCGACTACAAGAAACTAAACAGTTTAGCCAAATACCCCATTTATACCCTGCTTATCATTGAAGAAGTAATATAGAACATTTAGGTCCATCAAGTACGTATCCACAGTAGATCTTACCTCTAGTTTATTCCAGATAGTGATTTAACCCAAGGATGTGCCGCAAACGGCATTCAACACGAAATCAGGCACTTATGCTTTTCTTAGAATGCCTTTGGGCTTATGTGAGAGACCCGGCGACTTTCCAACGAACGATGGACATTATATTAAGACCTGTCCTCGGTAAATCCACATTTATTTATCTTGACGATATTGTCTCAAGCGAAAATATTGATGAACACATAAAAGATTTAAACGAAGTTTTGACATTACTAAGAGATACAGGCCTAAAAATAAATGCTAGTAAGTGTAAATTTCTGGCAGAACTTAAGTACTTGAGCTATAAGATTTCAAAACACGGAATTGAAACTGAGGATTTGAAAGTAATTGCAATAAAGAATTACCCATTGCCCAATACTACGGAAAAGCTCTCTCCTTTCTTAAGCATGTGTTCTTACTATAGAACATTTATAAAGGACTTTGCACAGTTAGCTGAACCGCTGTTACAATTGAAAA